TAACCTAACCTAACCTAACATTAACCTAACAATAACCTAAACTAACCTAAAATTAACATAACCTAACATTAACCTAACCTAATTTAACCTAACCTAATTTAACCCAACCTAATATTAACCTAACCAAACCTACTCTAACCTAACCTAACTAAAGTAATTAATCTAACCTAACTAACCTAACGTAACTAACCTAACCCTAACCTAACTAACCTAACCAATGTAACTAACCTAACCTAAGTAAACTAACCTAATTTAATCTGATTTAGCATAACCTAACTAACCTAATTTAACATAACCTAACTAACCTAAAGTAACCAACCTAACCTAACCTAACTAACCTAACCTAACTAACCTAACCTAACTAATCTAACCTAAGTAAACTAACCTAATTTAATCTAATTTAACATAACTAACCTAATTTAACATAACCTAACTAACCTAACGTTACTAACCTAACATTACTAACCTAACTAACCTAACCTAACTAACCTAACCTAAGTAAACTAACCTAATTTAATCTAATTTAACTTAAACTAACTAATCCAATTTAACCTAACTAACCTAATTTAACATAACCTAACTAACCTAATGTTACTAACCTAACCTAACCTAACTAACCTAACCTAAGTAAACTAACCTAATTTAATCTAATTTAACTTAAACTAACTAATCCAATTTAACCTAACTAACCTAATTTAACATAACCTAACTAACCTAACGTTACTAACCTAACTAACCTAACCTAACCTTCTGTAATGTTCTCCTGTCTGTTCTGATGTTCTCCTGTCTGTTCTCTGATGTTCTCCTGTCTGTTCTCTAATGTTCTCCTGTCTGTTCTCTAATGTTCTCCTGTCTGTTCTGATGTTCTCCTGTCTGTTCTCTGATGTTCTCTCCTGTCTGTTCTCTAATGTTCTGTCTGTTCTCTAATGTTCTCCTGCCAGTTCACTAATGTTCTCCTATCTGTTCTCTAATGTTATCCTGTCTGTTCTCTGATGTTCTCCTGCCTGTTCTCTAATGTTCCCCTGTCTGTTCTCTAATGTTCTCCTGTCTGTTCTCTGATGTTCTCCTGTCTGTTCTCTAATGTTCTTCTGTCTGTTCACTAATGTTCTCCTATCTGTTCTCTAATGTTCTCCTGTCTGTTCTCTGATGTTCTCCTGTCTGTTCACTAATGTTCTCCTATCTGTTCTCTAATGTTCTCCTGTCTGTTCTCTGATGTTCTCCTGCCAGTTCTCTAATGTTCTCCTGTCTGTTCTCTAATGTTCTCCTGAACAGACAGGAGAACATTAGAGAACAGACATCTGTAAGTGTCTCCTCAGTGTCAGGTTCTGTTCGGACCCTCCTCCTTCCTGTCAGTGATGTAACGTGCTGCAGTCAGAACCCAGTCAGAACCTGTAAGCTCCAGAACCAGAACAGTTACATAACTGACACCGGCTGTTCCTCCTCCCTCCCTCCTCCTCTCACCTAAAGCGGACAGCCTGTCGATGAGGCCGGCGTCTCTGATCACCTTTGGGCCGAGCTCCACTCCTCGTCTCTTCTGTCAGAAACAAACAAACAAACAAACAAACAAACAAACAAACAAACAAACAAACAAACAAACAAACAAACACAGGTGGATTTGTTAAATACTGTCAGAGACAGGAAGTAAACAAATAAACAAATAAAAACTCCATCTGTTAAACCAGGTGAAAGACAGACAGGAAGTAAAAATTAAAATAAAAATAAAGTCCCGGTCGTCCTCTCACCTGTCCTTTACAGAACGGAGCACCCAGAACCGCCACAGACTGGGCTCGGTTCTGCTGACATCTGTGTCTCAGCTGGGTTCTGATSAGCCGGGAGACTGGACCCCTCAGAGCCATGTTCAGACCGGTACCGGCTCGGCTCACAGTTCTGATGTAAGGCTGGCTGCAGGATGCTGTCTGGACCCGGAGGAGGGGCGGGGCTTCTGGCTCCTAAAATCCACTGATGTTGAGCTGGTTCTGGTTCAGGTTCTGGTTCGGAGGACCGGACTTTGTTATTTAAACCTCTTCAGGTGTTGATTAAAAAAAGACGCACGTTTCTCTTTTTAATAGTCCTCTGTGACGTCACTCTGAGTGACACACCTTTAGGTGGACCAATAGGCGGCTCCGGGGTGGGCGTGTCCTGCCGGTGGGCGTGGCCACGAGTTGACTGTGATGAGTCTCTGAGCTGCTGCTGTGTCATCCGAGTGGAAAATTCCGGCTCGGTTCGGATCTGCCAACAAGACAGAACCGAGCCTGAGCAGGTGCTGCTGTCAGACAACACGAACACGTGACTGTCTGCTTTTTACACACAACATCAACACAAAAACAACACAAACACACACAGAGAGTCAGTGGAAAATCTGCAGTACACTGAATATGTGAAAACTACTACCACAGTACACTGAATACCTGAAAACTACTACCACAGTACACTGAATATGTGAAAACTACTACCACAGTACACTGAATACCTGAAAACTACTACCACAGTACACTGAATACCTGAAAACTAAAACCACAGTACACTGAATATGGGAAAACTACTACCACAGTACACTGAATATGTGAAAACTACTACCACAGTACACTGAATATAGGAAAACTACTACCACAGTACACTGAATATATGAAAACTACTACCACAGTACACTGAATATGTGAAAACTACTACCACAGTACACTGAATATGGGAAAACTACTACCACAGTACACTGAATATATGAAAACTACTACCAAAGTACACTTAT